GCGGTAACGCGGGGCGTGTAACGTTACGGAGGCCTAGGGTAACGTAACCGGAGCCTGTAATGGGTTTCCCTTCACCGGATTCGACCAGGCTGCGCGGCGGCCGGGTGTGGTGGTGGTGTGGCACGGCGCGGCGGGGCGGGGTGTGGCGGGGCGGCCAGAGCGGACCAAACAGAGCATCAGCATCGGCATCTCGACGACGACTTTCATGTCCCCGAGCCTTCCTCGGGCCAAACCGCGCCGGCACCGTCCGTCCGCCAGGACACCGAAGGCACTGTAGGCCCTGTAGGCATGGCACGCCCAGTCTCGAATTTCGCGGCCGCGAAAGCGCACGCGTCGCGTCGCCGTGCCGTTTCAGCTTCATCGGCCACCTGAGTCTCTGAGTCTCTGGCCAGGACGAAGACGCCGGTTCTGTCCCCAGTGGTTCCCAGAGGAGCAGTCTCGTCGTTAAAGCAAAACGAGCCAGCTGCCCACGGACGGAAACCCCGTTTGCGTTTTCAGCGTCTCGCGTTGCCGCCGCGCGCCGCGCGCCGCGCCCTCTCAAACTAGGCTACACACAGTCACGCCAAGGTCGTCGAATCGGCGCATGAAGGCCATCGAATGGACGTGAGGTGTTCGAAATTGACGTGAAAGTCGTCGAATTGATCTGGATGGACGTACAAATCGTTCACACGCGCGCGCGTGCACAGACACACACCTGAATCCGCGGCGGCAAGACGGCGCCGGCGCCCAGGCCGGCAGCGCCGCGGAGGCCGCGGAGGCCGCCCAGGAGGTGCGCGACGACGCCGCCGTCGGCGTCCGCCACCGGGTCCACCAGGTCGCCGTCGCCACCGTCGAGGTCCAGCGGCGGCAAGTCGGGCGGCGCGTGGCGGCCGTTGGCTTGGCCGTTGGCGGCGCCGAGGCGAGTCCGCTCTGTCCGCTCCGGGTGGCGGGGACCCGCCCGCCCCTCTCGCCCCGCCCGCCCCGCTCGCCGCGGTGGTGCGGCTTCATTGGGCGCGAGATGGCGCGGGTGGACGGCTGCAGCCGCGCACTGGGAGAGAGGGGAGAGAGAGACAGAGCTAGGAGTCGCAGGCACTGCACTGACAGAGAGACAGAGCGACGAGTCGCAGGCACTGACAGAGAGAGACGAGTCGCAGGCGCTGCGAAGAGGGGACGGAGGGGGCGATGCGGGGAACACCCCGCACAATCGGGACGATACAAGTGCTAGAAAATTGACAATTTTGTTTTGAATTTCGGTAAAGGGATAGGAGGAGGAGGAGGAGGATGCAGATGAGGTGGATTTCGATTTCAGGCCGGGTCTCTTATTTCGTTTCTCTTTGCCCATCATGCGGACGCGCGCACGCACACACGGACACACACATGCACACGCACACACACACGCGCGCGCGCGCCGCTATATCTACCTTCATATCACGTTGCTGCCCCTTGCCTGACTCTGCGCTGCCGCTGTGCCCCTACCCGCTGTTCCAGCTTGTCTGACAAGGATCGCTTTCACGGATTGCGTTTCAGTTACATTATTGTCGTTATCATCAGCGGCATCGCGGCCGTGGCGGCCAGGGCCTTGACGGCCGCGCTCGGGCCCTTCTTGGACTCGCCGGGGACCGACAGGGCCTAAGCGCGCGGCACTGCTGCCCCAAAATCGCCGTTTCGATTGTTCGATGAATCGTTTGATTTGAGTCACTTCGACGACGCTTTGGTCAGGCAGCAAAGCGGTAGGCAAAAGCTACAGTAGGCAAAAGCTACAGGCAAAATTGCTGCTTTACCCCCGTCAGGCCGGCTTTGGATCTGCCACTGCCCGGACTCCAAAATCGCTAATCGCTACCACAACAAAGGTCTGAACGAGAGCACGCTCGAGTTCGCGATGTCCAAGTTCAAGAACAACGGTTTTCGCATTCGACTATAGCCATCCATCCTTCTCTTGCTCAACCCGACCCCGGACGTGGAAACGTCGAACGCGTCCGGGCCGAGGCGACCGAGGCGGCCGAGGCGTCGTCTGCTCGAGGGCGTGGAGTAACCGTCGCGTCCCTGGGCCGGGGGCCGGGCTGGGGGCGGGGCTGGGGGCGGGGCTGGGGGCGGGGCTGGGGGCGGGGCCGGAGGGGTTGGGCCGGGGGCGTGGCGGGGCTGCCGGCGGATGAAGGGAGGGGTGGGGTGGGCAGACAGCGGCGAAAGGGGCGTGTCCAGGGGGAGGGGCAGGGGAGGGAAGGACGCGGCACGCTGCTTCGCGGGCTTGCCCGGGCTTGCCGGCCAGAGGGTGCCCCTCCCATCCAAATTATTTCGAAAAGGAATGAGGCTGGCATTAAAAGGGAGACATAAAAGGGGGCCCGGCCAGTCCGGCCGGGGAGGCGCATGGAAGCATGGAAGCGCGCGCAGGCAGATCGCTCTGACTCTCTCGCACCCCTGCGGGACGCCCCCTGAGTGCGAGAGAGACACAGCGTCGGAAGCAGTTCGGAATCAGGCTGCAGGATCGGCCGCCGCGCCGCGCTCCGATTTCCGCAGCGGCAGCATCCTTCCTCCTTCTGCGATTGCTGCTTGTTCGTGAGATCAACAACAGACTCTCGACGTCGGACTGGTCGTCGCCGAGAGCGCCATGTCTGCGAACCCCCGGACGGCCGGCAAGCGCTGAGCAATGCTGAGCAAGCAGCGCGCCGTGCGAGTGCGAGAGAGACAGGGCGACGAAACGATCGGCTGGAGCGCGGACTTCCCCACCACGCGGTGGGGCGCGGGCCCGACCTACCCCAACAGGGCCGCGGCACGGCGCTCGAATCGCGAGCTTCTTCGGCCACCCTCGGCCTTCGGCGCGCTGTTTTGGCGGCGTTCGCGCGCAAAACCGAGAGGCGGCGAGTGTACGAACCACGAACCCGAGCCTCGGATGCCTGGCAGCGGGGCAGCGCGCTGCGCGGGGCTCGACCACCCGACCCGACACCGGAACCGGATCTGGCATGAAGGGGAGAAGAGGCGCTTTAAACCAGGCGCGTTCACCGAAGGCCGACCGAAGGCTGCCCGCCGGCCGGCCGGCCCGCTGGAAGTTGAGTTTTCCACCGTCCCGCGTAAAAATAGAGGGCAGCACGGGTGCGGCGGGTTGGCCGCGGACACGGGGGCACGCGGACACGCGGCGCGGGGGTATACTGTTGCCTGCGCCAGCCTGCGCGCCCCTCACGACACGGATCGGGTTTTAGGGTTTTGCGGAATCAGGTTTCTACTTCTCGGGTTTCGTCTGCTGTGCCGTGGCATCGCCCCCTTCTACCTCATCTCCGTGCCTCATCTTGTTCACCCGCCCCCTCGCCTTGCGTTGCCTTGCCCTGCAGACTGATTCCGAGAGTCGTTTTCGTTGCTCTATCTCTCTCGCACTCACAGGGCGTGCCGTATGGGTGCGAGGGAGACAGGGCGACGAAAACGACTCTCGGAATCAGTCTGCTGCCTCCGTCTCGTCTCCCCGTTTCAGCCACCTCCGCACAGCCGATGCGATGCGTGCGATGCAACCGCGCTGCAACGGCCGCGTTCGCGTTTCCGAGGCCGGCCCGCGACTGTAGGCCCGCCCCATTTGAAATTGGGTCAGCGATCGTCTTGAGTGTCTTGGGGCAACACGGCGCGATTGCGAACAGTGCTGTTCTCGTCGCTCTGTCTCCCTCGCACTCGTGGGGCGCTCCGGCGCTCCGTGCAGGAGCGAGAGAGACAGCGCGAGAAAACGCTGCGGAATCAGTCCGCCCGGCAGATGCATAAATCAGGGATGCGCTGCAGCCCCCTACCCCCCCCCCCGTCGTCGTTTTCAAGGGACGAAAAATGATGGCCTGCCTATCAGGTGGCGGCGTGTAGCTTCGCGGCGCGGCGGGGCGGGAAACTCGAGCCTGGCTCTACCCCTTTGCGTCGGCTCCTCCACTGAAAAGCCCCCTGCCCCTGTAGCCCTGCCTGCCCTGGCCAGCCCCGTGGGTAAATACTCGAGCAAGGGAAGCAGAGGGAAATCACCATTCATCCGCAGTGGGACTGATTCCGAGAGTCTCTTTCATTCCTGTCTCTCTCCCACTTATGCGGCATCCCGTATGGGTGCGAGAGAGACAGAGCGATGACAACGACTCTCGGAATCAGTCTCTAGAGTCGCCCATTCCATAAGTAAGGGGCCTTTGGTAAAAACGTCATCCACTGTTGGCGGCGACTGAATGCCGGCACGTGACTCACGTTGATCTCGTCGTCCGGCGCCTCCTTCTTGATGTGCCGCAGGCGCAGGGGCGGCTCCGCAGTGGCGGCCGAGGGCGTGGACTTGGAGCCCGTCATCCTGGCCGTGCTGGCGGTGCTGGCGGCGGCGCGCTGCGGCCCGCGAGGCCCTCGCCGGGGAGGAAGGGGGGGCGGCGAGATTTCACGCCCTCCGCCGCCCGACGCGCTGCGGGACTGCGGGCCGCTCGCACTATTTTTAATTCTGGCGCATCGAACTCGAACACGACCACGCGGCTCTAGAGAGCTTCATCACATCACAGGCGAGGACCCGGCAGTCCTGGCGGTCCGCGTCGCTGAGTTACGAAGAACACGCCTCCACCACGCAACCGCAGTGACTCGTCCTTCCCTGGGCACTGGTGGCACTGGTACTGCACTGGTAGCACTGGCACTGTGATCGTCACTACACTTTCCAGTCGGGCTTCCACGTCGATGCCCCGCACTCGCTCGCACTCCCGGGGATCACTGTTGTTTGCACACACCGCGTCAGCATAATAAACAAATTCCGCAAAGGCGAAGACGCAGCACACTCCGCGCGCGAGGAGGGAGAGCCAGGACCTCGCTGCTCGCCGGCTCGATGCCGAATGCCTGCCTGCACTGCCAACGCCGGCCGAGCCGGAGCCGAACGAAGTCGAGGAGCCGAAAACAGAGCGGCGTGGTTTGAGTGCTTGGCGCGCTGGCGGCGACCGAGCGTTCGGCCTCGTCCGAATGTACCCGAACCGAACCCGAACATCCGCACGCTTCGTTTCTCATACCGATACCCACTAGTCTCGCGTACGCCCTCAGAGTGCCGCAGAGAGTCATGACATATATTCAGATTGGAACAGAGCAAAAGCAAAACAAACTTTGCAAGAAAAGAAAACAAACGTCACCGTCATTGTCGGCTTTCGACGTTTTTTAATGTGTCACTGATTTCATCTCAGTTCTGGTCAGCTGTGTTCATCAGTCGTGGACTTCCCTTCAGTGAAATGCAGCTGTTAAATGTAATTATTGTTCCATCACGTTCAACAGCTTGTCATTATTCTTCTAACCTCGTAACTTGTGGTCCTTTTAAGTCTACTATTTTGTCATTTTTAGTGAGTTAACATCCCAGCAGTAGCTAAGGTTCTCTCAAGCCTTATCTCTACTGTCTATGATCTGTGGCTCCCATTTGACAATTTCTTCACGAATTATGTTCAGGGTCCAAAGTCAGTCTTTTATGAACCAAATTTCATAACAGAAGAAGAGGAGAGAAGACTTGTGGACTGTGTGTATGCTGCCCCTAAACCAAAATGGCAGCAGCTATCAAATCGTCGTCTTCAGAATTGGGGAGGCCTTCCACATCCGAAGGGAATGGTCGCTGAACCAATTCCAGAGGTACTTAGCTCTCTGATCCAAAGGTCTGTGTGACATGATGATGAAAGCACTATTAATGTGTGTCCTTTGTTCTAGTGGTTGATGCACTATGTTCAGAAGGTGTCAAGTCTTGATTTGTTTGGAGACAAGAAACCAAATCATGTCCTCGTGAATGAATATTTACCTGGTCAAGGAATAATGGTAACGGTTCAAGTATTGATGAATGGTCTTAATTTATCTCACAATTTCATCATTTGTAACCCATAATCCAACTGATTACAAATACTTTTCATTTCAGCCCCACACTGATGGGCCTCTTTTTCATCCTGTTATAACGACTATTAGCCTTGGTTCACATACTGTGCTCAACTTCCATGAGGAGCAAGATCTAGAAAATATTGTTGGAGAGAATACATCACCGAACCAAATGAAGCAAAGAAAGAAAATTATGTCCGTATTGTTGGAACCAAGAAGCCTCCTGGTAGTGAAAGATGATCTCTATCAAAATCATTTACATTCCATTGAAGAGCTTAAATGTGATGAAATATCAGAATCAATAATCAATCCAGGAACTTTTAAAGTAGGAGAATTGTTAGAAAGAAAAACTAGAATATCACTGACCATTAGACATGTTCCAAAAACCAGTAAAGCAACCATATTCTTGAGTAAAAAATTTTAGCCATATCTGCTAGTTTATAAAATTATAACACATCCTAAAATTAATTAAATAAAACAAACTTATGGCAACATGAAGTAACACTTTATTCTTCACAAGTTCTAGATAGTTCTAGAATCAAAATTAGAAGTTCTGACTTGGTGTTTACAAGTTCTTAAGAAATTTAAAGATAAAATTGATTGCAAACAAGAGTGGAAATGATTTTGAAACCATTTGATAGTTTTTGACAGTGGGTAAGTATTTACTAACTGAAGGAGGAACGCCACAGGTTGGGGGTTTCAACATTCAAGAAAAGAACAGAGGGTAAATATATTCAGTCATACCACACAGTTAAATAACGGCCAATAACCTTTGACATTCAGATGACCAAAACCAAATTGATTAAATGAAATATTTATGAAGGTGTTGACTCTGAATTGTCCGCATCATCAACATCATCCAGAGACACATCCATCATTTCAGACTCACTGTCATCAAGTAGCGTCTGAAGTTGGTGCATACTCGACAATAGGACATGGAATTGCTTGCGGCGCATATTTAATTTTTTCTCTAAAGCTTCACGGGTAGCCTAAATAAAATGTGACAAAAATGTTATCAATAACACACAGTGTGATGAGTAAAATGATATCCTCTACTTGGGAATGTACTTACTTGCAATGCACTCAGGTCCTCTCGTAGTTGTGATAGCTCTTCATTAGTTTTTCTTCGGTCCGGCTGCTCAGTAATTACTTTAGCCAATAAATCATATTCTATCCTGTTTCTACGAACAGTGCGAGCATTCTTCAGCTCGCGCTTTGTTTTCTCTATGTCTTGTTTGGCCGTTGCAATATCTAATTCAATTTTTTTAGACCATTCTTCGTAATTGTGAAGCTCCTCTGCACTCATGGCGCTAGTCAGGTGGGCTTTGGAAAGTGCGAAATCGCACTGTGCTGCAAGAGCGAGCATTCTATCGTGAGTCTGTCGGCTGAAACAGGACGAGGACGAGAAGTTGAGAGAGACTTAGATTATCGCTGTGCCGAGGAGCTGGTGAGAATGTCAGCACCAGTCTATCCTAACTGAGATAATCTCTGGTAAGATTTTGCCGACAGTAAATCGCAAAGTACAAACCTTTCGGCTTCTGGCTCGTCTCCTGCGCACCACTTGACAAACGTTTTCAGCAACGCGTTGAGTCGCCTGTCGTCACCGGTTCCGTCACCGTCAATCAGGAGGCGGCGGCGAATCACGTCCTCTGAGAAAGACAGGGATAACAAACTATCACAGAAGTGTCATCGACACTCATCAATGAGGTTATGCTCGAGCTGCTTGGCAGTGTCGACGAAGAAAGTCAAAGCTAGACAGCGTTTAAGTTCTATTTATTTACGTACCATCACCCATATTTTCGTTGAACGAGTACAGAAGCGAAAGTTAATTAAGCAAAACGAAGAGTGTTAGGTTTGCTGGTTGATCGGTGGTTTGTTTGGAGAGGAGCTGAGCGTGCGGCTTGGCAACATAAGAGAATCACTGACAACATCACAAAGTAATTTTTAGATCCGTGCCGGTTAAAAAGACATGAAATTTGCTTGAATGAGAAAAAAATTAGCGCTTTGTAACTGTTGACAAGCTTAAAATTCATATGTTCATGTCCATTTAAAACGATGTTAGATGTAATTGAATATTTCGGACAGACGTTTTTGTCATAAGTTGGTAATGTTTACTCCTGCCAGTTCATCGACCGCCACAGTTCAAATGTTTGAAATCTTTCTTTAAAGGATTTGTAGATATGATGCACAGGTAGCTAGCAAATCATTTGCGTAGTAATCGCTCAACGTAGGCTTAGCCTATGGGCACAGTTCGCTTAGTTCGCGAAGCAGTGGCTTTTGCATGTGTAGGAAGTGTTGCCTCTCACCTCACCGAGCCGGTGCGTGTAGTAGCGAACAAACGGTACACCGCATAGTTTACTTGGTGTTTCACTGGAAAGAAGTCCTCTTTGTTTAGCTTCTCCAAAACTCTATCTGTGCTGCAAAATCTCTAATTAAGTTGATCCAGAAGTTGCATGGTGTTCAGGTTGAAAGTAAACTGTTTCCGGTGATGGCCTGGTCTCGAGGCCTAGTGGATTTGACTCCCACCCTTTCAAAGTGTTGAGCATTATAGCTCAAAAAGGGAATATAAACACACAAATGCCTTGGAATTTTACTACAGATTTAATGACACAGACAAAGAAAATTTTGTGTCATACAATGCCACAAAAAATTAATTACCTGGAAAAACAAAACCAGTGTACAATGCACAAAGTTGATCAAACATGGCAAAGTAAACTGTTACAAAACAAGTACTCAAGAAGCACACATGTACAAATAAACCGGGCTTTAAATGAGCAAGAATGGCATTTGTGCCACATGTAAATAGTGATTTGTTACAAAATTAGGCAGATCTGCTCAAAGATCTTTGCATCAAGATGAAAATAAAAAAGCCAAACCTCAGCATAATCATTTCTTGGAAATAATTTAAAAAATAATTAACACAATTTCACATCACATTACAACAGGTATCACTACTCAAATAAAAACCACAAAAGCTGAAAAACTAAATACTTAATCCTCTCTACATGCAGACGTTTCTCATAGAAAGTGACAAAATATCATTTGCTTAGAAGAATTTTTATACAGCCAATCACACAATTGTGAAACAAGAGCAAAATATTCTGTACAAAACAATCAATAAGTACTATGAATGTACTTCAATTACATACTTTACTTGGATATCAGTGCACAGATTCCACATCCACAATAAGCCAACCCATATAGCCTCAACCCTTATAGAGACAAGGAATACAGGGATTCTGAGGCAAGAACGTAGAAAATAGCACAACACACACACATACATATATATATATATATACTATAAATACTATATATATATCTATGGAAGGAGGAGTACGTTAAAAATAGTATCATTTGTTGCAATTCACATAAACTGTAAAGTATTTGACCTCAGACCAGTACCTACTCCTTAACAAAATATCCTCACTTCTCCATAAAATACTCTTACGTAACACCACACCACTTAATTAAATTAGGATGTAAACGACAGGAGTAAGTAGGGTAGTCTCAACAGGTCACAGATATTGTTTAAAGCAATGAGAAATGGAGGAGGGTATGAAGGTGACAGGGTAAAACCATGAACTGTTACTTGAGTGACAGGTGTGAAGTGTTCTTCAAGTAGAACAAAGGTTTCTTTAAAAAGCAAGTGTTGGATTGCATTTATGATAAAGGTCGGTCTTCAGGAATGGTAGGAGTGGTTGCTGTGCTGCCTTTCTTGTACTCTGTTTCTCGGAGGGCTTCGTCAAAGCTCTGCATGGAACTTGAGCGAGATGTTGAGACCTTTGTCTGGAAAACAAAATAAAATAAAATTAGTCACAAAAAAATCCACGTAGAAAAAGCAACAGGAACCCTGTACAAATAAAAGAAAAGAAAAAGTGAAATGAACAAACAGCAGTTGTTAGTCATATCCAAGCACTTCAGGTTCCACAAAATTAGACAGGAAAAAAAATCACAAGTACCCTTTATATAAATAACCAAATAATAAGGAAACAACTTTGGAAAACCCACTGCAAATTTATGCTTTGCACATTACAAGTTACATAAGACCCCATGCCAGTGTTACCAAAAATTGAGAGAGAAGGGGGGGGGGGGGGGGGGAGAGAGGAGGCGGCCCTTGACAAATGGGAACTGAAGTTTGTTTCCTCAAAAAGAATGAATAAAATGCGCCCATGACATGCATGTTATGAGTGTTGAAATCCAGTAAGACAAGGTCATTATTTCTTTTCTAATGCCACAATAGAATGGCTGATTTTGCAACCAATAAAGCACAATGCACACACATCCCAACAAAATAAATTACATAGGCTGAGGAAAACTCCCAGTTTAAAACAGTGGGAAAGTTTTAGTCCCAGTCGACTCTTACCCAATCCCCACCCTAAACGGTTGTTGAGCACTTAAGCTATCAGGGCAACAAGTTCTGGAAAAGATATACATCACTCTTCATACTAAAAACTGATTGATTTACTATGAATATGAAGCAGTCTTGGTATTGGTTTTGAATTGAGTTACTGAGACAAAACGTCTTTGTAAAAGATTCTACTCTTACCTTCACATTCTCATACGCAGAACCCATCTTTTCTTCTAAGGAACGGAAAGATTCAGAATTCTTGAGTTGTCCTAGCTTCATGGTGATGCCTGATCCAAGACCTCCAAGAATTGAAGTTGTCTTTTCCGCTGTAGCCTTAACTACAGATTCAGTCTTTTGGTACCTAAAAAAACAGATCAAACATAAAAATTAAGCACAAACATAAATCACACATAATTTTTTTAGAAAGAAACAAAACAAAAATTGACTAACATGCAACATAAATAATTTGTTCATTAGACCAATTATATTATCCCCTTGCATATTTCAGAGAATACACTGACATAGATTATACTTAATTAAGTTGTTCTTAGGCTTCTTATTTTTAATTGAAAAGAAAGTGTTGGTGCTTTATTATATGTAGTTTAATTGCCAGCCCCATGCAAGCAGATAATGCAGAAGCATAAATGCTAATAATAATAAAATCATGCATTTCTCACGCTCTAAACTTTGTAACACACGCAAAAGCCAAACACTTTTTAGATGCTTCAGGAGTCTCAAGTCCTAAATGAGACCAGCATTATTAAATGAAAATATCCTACTTACATAACATTAACCTTTCAATATATTGTGTATTCACTACCCTTCACCCTACAAACATAGATTCCAAATACCCAATGGGATGTACCACAGGCTCATGAAAACAAATGGTGGAAAATGACTCAAACTGTGACATGATTATCCCAGAATAAACTCCCAACAGACTGACTTACATTGGCTGATCTGCAACTGCTTTACCAATCTGGCCAATTTTCTCCTCTACAGTCTGATACCTGGAGTATTCATGATACAAGTAAAGAACAGTTTTTACAAGAAACATAATTTATAAGGAGTTGTGCTGCAGCCTGGTTCATGTCATGCTCAACTAATAGCAATTTGTTCAAAAAAGAAGAAAATCAAAACTACATCAAACTACATCAGCGGGGTAATGTGCAACAACTAGTAATTTTACTACCCTAATGTATTATTTTTATCATAAAGAAGAGGTAGAGACTTCAAGTCTTACCCTGAACCCAGCAAACCTCGCACTGAACTGCATGTTTGGAAAAGAAAGTATATTGTATTTTGGAAGCAAAATAGCCTTACAGTGAAGAAAGTTAGTTATTTTAGTTTAAGAAAGCACTTGAGCAGGAACTTAACCTGCATATTGCAATGACTCAAATTTAAAAGGAATAAGCCAAATTAAACATAACATGAAGATCAATACGGCTCATCTTAGAATATTAAAATGCAAAATTGAGTAAGGAGAAAGTTCTTGTGCAAACGTATAAAACTGGTTGCATGTATACTTACACGTTGGACTCCTTCACATTTCGCAAGCCTTGAGAGACATCATCAGTCAACTCTCGCCAGACGGAGAAGCCCAATTTGCGTTTGAGTTCTTGTGATTGCTTCACTTTGGAAGCTAACACAAATCTCATAGTTTGGATTTCGTTTTCAACATCGGCTAGTTCCTTGCGCCATTCTTCCTTCTGCTTCTCTACTTCTTCAGGCGTAAGTCCCTGCAGCTCGGAAACACCAGAATCTGGCGACATGTCTGTCGACGGCTCTTCTGTAACAAGGAAAGACGGTCGTTACTACCTGTCAACATTTCCCTTCAATCCATTAACTATTGTTTAAAATCACTATTTTTTTCCCTATTTTTTTAAATATATATATAAGCCAAGATTAAAATGCAAAAAAAATATATTTAGGACTCAATTCATGCATTTGAGGCATGCAGGTTTGAAATCAGTTTTCCATAGTTCTATCATCAAGTCCTGATATTTTCTTGGAGTAAAAAGACAACACTAAAGGCACTACATGGAACTAACACTGACCATGCATTGGCAAAATGCAAAAATTTCCTGGTACTAACTATTTTAAGTAATGCCAATGTGAAGGAAACTTCATTTACATTTTTAGGCACAAAATAGCCTTACAGCTTCCCCAAGATTTGTATGTTTTAAAGGTAAGATCGAAAAAGCCCACTAGTATTTGCAATGTTTCTGAAATAATTTTAGGTAGTAGGCGATTTTGTTACATCGGGCATAATCTGATGACCTTGTTTCTTATTTAGATTTGCTAAACTTCAGCACCTTGTAAACTTGTTAGGAAAATTACTGGAGAATCTATAGAAGATCAAATCGATCGCATCCACTCTATTTCTGAATTTGTCCAAGATAAAACGTAGGGGAGACGAGAGGGGGGACCTTTTATCCGTCAGTATTGTGCTGTCCATATGCTTCGCCGCTTCGCGCCACAGCTCTCCCCCCCCCCCCCCCCCTCCCCAGGCGGTACTTCCCCACCGTTCCGCTCCCCTTTGGGCGACTTTCACTTCCAGGGCCCCAGGCCGAGGCTGCCGAGGCCAGGCGCGCCAGGCGCACGGCGCGGCGGCGCGTTGTTGTAGCGGTGTCGCCAGCGCGCCTCGCCTGCCCCGCGCCTCGGTCGTGGAGATGTATCCCGAGTCGCAGAACCGGCAAAGTAGCCGAACAAAACCGGCGCAAAAAAGGGGAAAGAACCGGCACTGCGGCCGAACAGGAAAAAGGCGCGTCCGTGCCGTGGCGGCGCCATGGCGGTACCGCACCTCGCACCAGCTGCAGGAAGCGGCGGTAGTTGTTGGTCGAGCTCATCTTGGAGAAGTAGGGCTTGGTCAGGTCCTGGAAGGTGACCCTGACAAGGGGGCGCCGTCCCTTCCTGCTCAGCAGGCCCAGGATCCCCTTGGAGGGCTTGACGAACTCCGTCTCGACCGAGTAGGCGCCCACGTCGGCGTCCACGTCCACCATCACGTCCAGGTCGTCCAGGTCGAGCCCGTGCATGGCGGCCAGCGCCAGGCATTGGTCGACGTCCGCGTCGTCAAGCTCCTCGTCGCCGAGCAGGCGCGCGGCCAGGTTGGAGCCCGCGGCCGCCGACGACGGGATGCCCACTTCGGGGTCCCCGAGGTCGTCCTCGTCTTCCACCACGTCGAAGCTCGGCGTGGCGTGCGGCTGGTGCGTGTAGTACGCGTCCTCCTCGTACTCCAGGGACGGGTACTCGATCTCCTCGTCGGGAACGCCGTCCGGGAGCACGGCGTCGGAGACGTCGCTCGCCGCCATGGCCATGGCTGCCTTGGTGGCGCCCTTGTTCAACTCGTTGTTATTGTTGTTGATGTTCATGACGGCATGATCACCTCAACGTCCCGAGCGTCACGACGCCATACGCGCACCACCACATGGCCTCGACGGGCCCACTGACAACGCGGAGCACGCCGAGCACGCCAAGCGACGCCACCTGCGGACGACGGGCACACCGCGCGGGCCCACGGCGGTACGGGTACTGGCTGCCACACTGCCACGCCAACGCCACGCCACGCCAAGCCGGCCAGCATCAGCGCAGCGTGACGAGCCGAGCCGCGCGCAGCGGGCCGAAGCCGGGCCCCGTCTGAGGTGTGGCGCTGGGGCCGAGCCGAGCCGAGCCGAGCCGAGCCGAGCCAAGCCGGCCGGGCGGGGGCCTCGCTGGCTGCGACGTGGACCTACGCTCCGCGGTCCGCGGGGGTGGTGGGGGCAGCACGCTCCAGGGCCCAGGACTCCAGGGCCCAGCGCTCCTCCAGCTGGAGCACGGAGCCAGCAGGGCACCGCGCCGCACCGCGCCGGCCAAGGTGTACCAAGGTGGTGCCACCGACCTGGTTCACAGACAAGGCTAAGCCGAGCGGCGCGGACAAGCCACGTCGCTTCGCGGTGCTTCGCGGTGTCTTCAGGCAATAGTACTGCGAGGGCCGCTGACAGGTGTGGTGGGGGAACGGCGAGCAGCGAGGGGCCCTCTAGGTGCGCGGCGGTACGGGGCGCGACGCGGGGCGCGACGCGGGGCGCGACGCGGGGCTCCAAGGGCCGACCGACGGACACGCCGCCAAACGCTGCAGTTCAGTCCTGACTGCGGAGTGCGCACACTGCAAAGGCGAAGCGCAGCCACGAGCCACGCAGCTTGATGACCACGCCAGCAGACTGATTCCGAGAGTCGCTCTGTCTCTCTCGCACCTTGTACGGAACCATACGGGACGCCCCACGAGTGCGAGAGAGACAGTCTGCAGCCGCGCCGCAGAATGGCACTGCGCATGCCGTGCATCCGTTTCGGCGGCGATACTCATCAGTGCAGCGGTCTAATTTCCCCCACAGCTTCGCGTATCACCGCGCGTGGCCGCGTACCGCGTATCGGGTCCGTTCTAGTTCGCCCAGTCGGGCCATGCCGCCATCCGAGCGCGGACACCGACCGGCACGACCAGCAAGCCCAAGAGCCGTTGTCTCCCTCGCCCCCTTCGACGCGCCCCGCGAGTGCGAGAGAGACAGCCTGCTCGCGGCGCGGTGTCCGGTGGCCCGCGCGGCGAAATCGCGCCCACTCCCTCGAGACGCGGCGTCGCCAAGACCCCGACGGCCCCCGAGAAGTCCCGGCCGGCGACATCGACTCGCGGCAATAAACACAGAGTGAGCGTGACTGTACAAATATTGACCGGGATATGTCATCGTGCGACGGAGAGCGCAACAAAATGCACGGTATACAGTGTACAGTCATCGACGGGGCCGCCACACTGCAAGGCCGGGGACCGGGGAAGGCTCCTCCAGGGGGTGCGACACCACGATAAAACAGGAAAATAAGCGTGGAACGGTCAGCCTTACGGGCGTCTGCATGGTTACATGCATCCCCGGCATTTCGGAGCAACGCCGAGAGTAACAGGCACCGCCAATGCGAATCGTTGCGTCATGGCAGCGCAGCCTTTTATGCGCGGCTTACGTAAAGCGGGCGGGGCGGTGGAGTCTAGCCGGACCGCGGGGCGGCTGGTCACGGCGACAGCGGCGCCGCGGCCAGATTCGGATTCAGATTCACGCGCCGCGCGGTGCGAGGGCCACTACGAGAATTACCCAGCGAAACAAGAAGGAATGCCGGGAACTGAGGGAGAAACATGCAAGTCCCTGGCGGCGTGCCCGCGGAGAGCGCCCGCAGAGTCGAGGGTAGGCAGTCCCGCAACACGCGCGCGTCGCGCGGGGCGGCCCGCCCACCGGGCTGACGACGCTCCGCGTCTCTGTCGCACTCACGGGCCGCTCCGCTCCGTAGGCAGTGGCGTGCGCACAAATTTTGAAAGAGGGGGGGGGGGGTCATACCATGCTTTTTGCCTACTTACAGGGGGAAAGTGACGCAATTTGCGTACCTTCCAGGCGGCTGTCTAGTGACCATTACCCTCCAGACGCCTCCCCCCCTCTCCCTTGCGTACGCCACTGCCCGAAGGGGTGCGAGAGAGACAGCAACGGGACAGCCACTCTCCGGACGCACTCGGCTGCAGCCGCTGGCGCTACCCCGTGCAGAGCCACGCACGGTCTGGCGATACCCCGCGCGCCGCCAGTCGCAAGGCGGGCAAAGGTCCGTCTGGAGAAGGTCTCGAGTGGCATCGATAAGGACGACGAGAGCGCCAGACATTTTCAGCAGTGTCGCGACGGGCTGCGGCGATCGGAACCACGGCGCCGGAACGGCGCAACGGCCGCAACCGGGGACGGACATCGCAGACATCGCGGCCTAGTAAGGCCCCCGGCCCCAGCCTAGTGGCCGCCGACGGCCGCCGAACGGAACGGAACGATGCGCCACTGCACCGCAAGGCAGGCCAGGCAGCCCGCTCAAAAAAGGGACAAAAGAAACCGTTACCGCCGTCAATTTACACTCCGCAGCGCCGGGGTGTTGCCTACACTGTGCAGGGTGGCTAGCTTGGCTAACTAGACTATATACCGAACCCCGCCACGTCAAACCACTAGTCAACTAGGTGGGTGCATCCTATTGCCCATGCCACAAACAAAAGCTATCATGGACGCCCTTGCAATGCATGAGGTGGCTAAGCCGACACTGGCAGTCCAAGAAAGAGACAGAGTTAAATAAAATCAAGCGAAACAAGCTTTGGCCGCGCCACACAGCCCGGCAGTGCTCCGTCCCTCTCGCACTCGTGGCGCGTGCACGGCGTCCAAGACGGCGTCCCGTGAGGGTGCGAGAGGGAAGGGGCGGCGAAGCTGTGCGTCCATTCGGTGTCCATTCGGTCCATTCCATACCGGGGTCCTCATCGCTACTGTCGGGCAGGGTGGCACAGGCGATGGCCGCGTAACTAGAGTGGCTCTTGGCGGCCCGGCTCCTGGCTGTACAACACACAATCGAGCCACGTCACTCACACACAAAACTAGAGTAAGCATCATGGGGAGGGAATTCGGGGCTTGGTTTCGTCGAGTAAGCTCGATCATGGGAAAGGTGCACACAGAGGGCGTGAGAGGGAAAGCGAGGCAGACACGCGAGTTGAGCGCTGTGTGTCACGACGTTACGAATTTCGAACGGGCCGAAGTCGCATCTCGGAGTGCGCGTCGCAGCGCTGCCGTCTAGGCTGGCCAGGCAATTATCACCCCATTGGTCGCGGTCCGGACATGCCGGCCGGCCAAGCCAAGGGCCGCACAGTGGGCCAGAAGACCGGTGGAGGCGGACAAAACTCTGGACGCGTTTTGGGCTCCAGAGTCGCTAAACAGGACTCGAACCGAGCGTATGACCCCACCAATGGATTCCTCGTTCGGAGAGCAATCCATTGGTGGGGTCACACGTTCGGTTCGAGTCCCATTTAGCGACTCTGCACTGGTGAAACAAAGGCATAAAAATTATGCCCTTAAAGGGCGTAAACGATCTACGCCCTTAAAGGGCATAAATCGTTAATGCCTTTGGGAAGGGCATTAAAATTTTGCTTGAAATTCCCATACCATTTACGCCCTTTCCAAGGGCATAAAACGATTTATGCCCTTGCAAGGGCGTAAAAGAGCATTTATGCCCTAAAGGGCGTAATTTTTATGCCTTTGTTTTACCAGTGTGGAGCTCAAAACGCGTCTAGAGTTTTGTCCGCCTCCATTGGTCCTCAGGCCCACTGTAGGCCGCAAAGTACCACAGTCAAAAACAGCGCCGAACCACTACACCCTCAAATTTGGCTGGGACTTCCCCCCGCGCTGGCGCTCCGCTATCGGCGAGTCGATGGATTCCCTATTATCGACCGCGATACTACACTGTCGGTCCCGGCAGATAAACCGCCCCTGCGAGGCGGGCAGCCGGCGCGGCGTGCCGACGGTGCCGACGCGGACGCCGAGAGGAGGGTGAGAGGGCTGACTCACAGTGCTATCTCCCTCGGATTCGGATCCACGCGGCCCGACAAGACAATGAGAGAGGCAGCCCGACAAGGAAGGGTGACTCATCGCGCAACGGACATCCCGAGGGAAAGGAACGGGCACAGCGAGCCGCAGCGAGCTCCTTTTGGAACAAACTCCACGTCAGGCCCTGCGACGGAGTGAAGCACGCGATAGGCGCCAATCTGTTTGCCGCGGCCCGCAGTGCCGCTCGTTTGGCAATGCCCCCTCCCCTTCCCCCTCGCGTGCGCGACTTGCCAGTGGGCCCCACGAGGGGTCAACACACAAGGCGGGCGGGTGCCGCGGTGCGCGGTGCCCAATCTGATTGACCCCGTTCACTCCAAGTTGACCGCGCCACCAGCACGGCCAGCATGACCAGCTGTAGGGCAACACGCCCCCGCCCACGACCGCGGCCCGCCCGTGACCCTGGACGGGGCGCCGCGCGGTGCAGGGGGCGTGGCTGTGGACACAGTGGACACCCCGCCAACCTCGCGGAAGCGGGCCAGCATTTCGGAACGTCCACACACACACTAGGAGAAGAGCAGCCTTCCCCCACGCCAAAAATAAAATGGTGGATGCTGCGACTTTTTCGCAGTGTAGCCGGGGGTCAACGCACCCTGGCTTTCCTCCGCGGCGCGGGCGGGCCGCGATGAGACGACGCTCCACTGGTAAAATTAAGGACGTCGTCGACATCGCCACCGAGCGGCGAAGCGCGTGGCCACGGCGGAGTGGATCTTGCAGCCGGCGCGGCACCCCCCGGCATCCTACCACGCCCAGCTTCGGCTACGCCGCTACGCCACGCCCACGCACGCCCCGTAGAGAAAGAAAGAGAAAGAGAGAGAAAGAGAGAGAGAGCCACGCTGTCGCCGTGCTGCGTCCCGGGCACGGCCGCTACGGCCGCTAGCTCCGCGAGCCACTCCCGAAATGACGGAGCCAGGACCTGGCCGGGACGCGGCCCGGAGCGGAACCGCGGAACGAGGCAGGCAAGCGAGCACACAGTGGGCCAGAAGACCGGCGGCGGCGGCCAAAACGCGTTTCGAGCTCCAGGGTCGTTTAACAGGACTCGAACTTAACGTGTGACCCCATCAATGTATTCCTCATTCGGGGAGCGATCCATTGGTGGGGTCACATGATCGGTTTGTGTCCTATTTAGTGACTCTGGAGCTGAAAATGCGTCAAGAGTTTTGGCCGCCTCCGCCGGTCTTCTGGCCCACTGTGGAGCACCTGGCCCGCCTGTCTCTCGCCGCCTCTTTTTCTATCTCTCTCTACCGGCTGAAAAGCCCTGCGCCCCTCCATTGTGGACCACCAGACAAAGCGAGAGGCCCATTCCGAACGGTGCGTCTGTCTCCCTCGCACCCTTGCGGAACGCCCTGAGGGTGCGAGAGAGACGGAGCGACGAAGACACGTCCTGCAGGACCCCGCCAAGGGCATGCACGTGACGGATGAGACAGTGGCCCACACAATGTTACGAAGAAAGTGGATCGATTCGCTAGTGCGTCTTTCGGCGCGGGGCAGCCTTGCCATCCAAGAACAGAGCACAATCAATACCCCCTTCCACCTAACTTGCCCCTGATGAAAGGGCTGGCTAAGGAGATCTCAAAGGGTTCGCCATCATAGGGATCATTGAGGATTCCAAAGGTGAGATGCGATGGCTGGGGCCCTTGCTATGAATATGTAGCCGTATTCCCCAGTGACGAACAATCTCTTAAAACAGGACTGGAGTGCTGTCGGGACAACGTCTTTGCCTGCGGTCACAGCAGAAATATATAATGACTGCTGTATACAACTATATTCAATGAAACAGAGCCTTTAATCAAAGATTAAGCCAAAGCAAAATGCATGACAGGACAACACAGTTCGAAGATATCTCCAAAATAAAGAAGATCAACGAAATTCCAAAATCTGCAGCTTTAAGTTAGATGCCCCAACATATTTTCATAGTGGGTAGAAAAATATCCAGCGATAAGTGAACACTTCTAAGGCAGCAACCAAAGCAGACCACGAATATATCAGATAGAAATATGTAAGAGGAATAAAGAGAAATCAACAGCCTCACTACTGTACACCATATCGCAACAATCAATGATTTAACGGTTGATGAAAGAGAAAGAACACCGCATAACTAGATGAATCAGTTAAAATAGAGACACAAAGAGGTATTCTGTGTTTAGGTCAAGCATACAGAGTACGTTCTGCGCAAAGGGTTGCATCACATAACCTTGGTTGTAAGATATGCGGATAAGTCCACGAACCAACAAAACGTATGACTGTGCCTTCCTAAACAAAAGATGCTCTGTCAGGAACGTAATGGCATTCCACATGAGTGCAGCATACACAGCACTCTTCTGTAAAATCAATATTTATGTGGAAATATCTTTTAGCATTCCATTGCATGAAACCGAAAGTGAGAGTGAGATTTCGACTGGCGCTAGCCCCTAGTGCAACAGAACTGCTCCACAAAGAACGTGTAGTACTGGTTAAAAGAAGTGCGCAAAGTCGCAAAACCTGGCAAATGAATGGAAATGACAGCCGGCTTAAACTGTCTCGGTGATAAATGTTCGCAACAACAATAAGCCTACGTGACGTCTTTGCCATACGGGATTTCCAAGAAAGGGAAAGGAAACAGAAACTAGGAGCAAAGCGAGTACTTACGACCAACGGGGACGCTCATCTTGGGTAAAGGATTACCAAACTTTGCACTCTCGAAAAGGCCCAAACACAGATATCACGTCTCTCGACACTGAGCGTAAACTGACGTGTATACCTCTAGAGGCGGCACTCTTTTGTTTTCTAGCGAGCTTTAAAACACCATGAACAACTTGGAACAGTTTTTTTTTCACCGTAATAACACAATATTCTTTGAAAAAAACAAACTCAACGTGATGATTTCTAAATAGCAGACATATTGATGAATTAAAGGATGCGTCGTAAAGCATATATAACAAATTTTTCGGTAGAAGTCAAAATATTTTACATGCGAACGTTGGTATCATCCTAGTAGGACATTGCCAACCCACTCACTTCTTTAAAAGACAATCTTCTGGGAAAATTTTATCCTTGCCCCTAACACATTCATTCTTCATTCACTCAGAGCGGGTCAAAACAAGTACTTTGGAAAATTTTCCAGCTGAAAGTTTTCAAAAAGTTTAAAATGGTTCAAAGATTTCTCATACAGTGAGTGTGGTTGGTGTGTTGTTGTTACTTTGTTACAGTTTTTGTTTAAAGAGTAGCCGGAGTCCGTATATATTTACTCCAGAATATCATTTGATTTATCCAGTGCTTAGCGTAGATCTCTCCATGATCCGTTCCACAACGCTCAGTTGAGAACAAATTAGTGACTGATTAGAAGAAACCGGTCTGTCACTGGAGGCTTTCGTTGGTCGGCTTGAACAACAAGTGGAAGTAACAGTGCCACTTCCACTTTGTGGTGACCGAAAGGTATTTATGTGCTCTTAGCTTTTATGATTTAACTGCTGCTGTCAAATACTCTGTTCCTTGGTTAGATTTAATTCATTAGAAGTACAGGTATGCCTTGTTTTGCCTTCCTCAAATTTGTGTGAATGAAGTTTTTAGCGTGGAGGCAGGTTATTCCACCCGGCTGCCCCGGCCAGTCTGGCAGTATTTTAATTCAACAATGCCTGCATTTCATTGATTTTACGAAACACGAAAACAGAACCTTTATGCTTTAGTACCCTATGATTTTATTCAATGCCCCCCTAGGGGGGGGGCAGCTCCTGACAGAATTTTATATTTTATAAAGTGCAAAATTGCAATGTGCATGCTTGACTATAATTTTCTTAACCACCCTAGATGGGATTTGATGAAAGGGCAGTTTAGGCCCCTTTACTTGCATGGATATATAAAACTGCCAGATAATTTTGAATTCGAAAAACAGGGAGAAAAAAGCATTCTAAGCATGTGTGTACTGGACTCGTAGTTTCCTCACATTTAAAAAATGCCTCCTAACAAACCGGAAACAGATATAGCCTCTTCGCCGGGCCGCCGGGGTCCCTTCGCTTGTGACCGAGAAATGCGCCATAGCGAGCGGCAGTCGCCTGTACCCCCCTCGGACGTTAAATAAAATCATAGGGTGCTAAAGTATGAACGTTCTGAATTTGTGTTTCATAATTAAAGCCAATGAATGAACGAATGCAGGCAGTGTTAAATTAAAATAGTGTCAGGAAAGCCCGGGTGAAGGTATAACAATGCTTAAATAGTAAAGAGAGAAACATATTTTTCTGGTCAGCCTCAAGGGCACCCTGAAGTCAAGTAATGTTTACCGATTATTATGGTGCTGGATTTGTGGTATCATTCCAAATAGTCACGCAGAATGCCAATAAAGGTTTAAACAAAGAAAGTTCCCAAAGCTTTGTGGACATTAAATGATACATTGTATTTGTATTTCAACATCACATAGATATAATCTTCTTACAACTTCATGAAAACTACTGCAGGTTTAAAAATTGCAAAAATATAATGAGTTGAATGAAAATGGTTTGACAAAACTTATCAGTATTAAATCATAATTTGCGTAGTAAAGAATCCACTCGGTAGGCAAGTGAATGGGGAGCAACATGCCTCTGTTTGACTGCAGGAGTAGGTGCCATGTGGCCATTTCTTTTCCGGCCTTTTTGATATCCATGCTCATAGGTCCTTGCTGCCTTGGATGGCCTTCCTGTCTTCTTACAATCTCTTCCTCCTAAATGTGGTCCAGCACGACGGAAAGGTTGTTTCTTGATGTGTTTCCCCGTTCTCAAACCCTCCCTCATAGCAAAGAGAGAGGACGCCACTCCATTTTCTGATTTGGACTTTATCATTTTCTCATATGAGCCAAGCCAAGCCCTGACACCAGGCAAAAAGACATCTGGTTTTGCTACCAGTCTTCTATCCAAGTCATGAAATACTTGCTTTAACTTCTCTCTCCATTTTTCAACCTCGACCTCGACAGAACTGTCAGTTACACCTATTAAAAAAATATATATATATTAATAACTATTAAAACTGTCTCTTAAAATTTAAAAAATAATCACATTATTACATACACAAAGGAAAAACATACTTAAACATTTTTACATACCTGTTGCAGCTTGCTCAGTTTCTGAGGCAGCATGTTGGGGGTTCTCTTCAGTTTCTGAAGTTGGAATTTCATTATGAGCTGAAAAATCAAATCACTCATGAATCTGAAGAGAAATAACCAAAGAAAAAGTAAGGTAAAAATAGGGCAGAACTTACAAGACATTTGAGAAGTCGCATCAAGAGGTTCATCCACATCTCGTGATCCAACAGCATCCCTGCATTGTGGACCATCCTTTAATGATCTGTACCACTCTGCAGGGATGTTGATGTTGCCCACCATGATTTTATGGTACAACAGCTTCTCTTCATTTCCAAATGTGTCATGGAACTGGGCACTTGACAGGTTGAAGGTCTTGGAAATGAAATACTGGTGCTTACAGGGTGCACCAGTAAAACCCATAGGACACGAGCAAATTTCTGCCTCCATGTCGACTAGATATAATTTGTCCGTTTTGCTGTTTTTCACCTCAAACACATGCTCCTCCACCCTTCTAGGACAAGATAATGCTTCTAGTTTGTGCTGTTTGGGAGCATAATATTTTGACTTCTGGTGCACATGCATTCTATTGTTGAGAACACTAGCAATTCGTGCTTGGTAATAAGCTTCTAGCTTGGTAACAAAGAAGTCAAAGAGTTGGACCATGTTAAAGGCTTTTAAACGTTCCATAACTGTAGTTTTGAGTTGGAGGAAGTTTCCCTCAGCAAGGTTACTGGTGTTGTTACCACGTATGACTAGGTTGGATCGATAACACAAAGCCCATTCTTTGCGGCGAGGATGAAGGTCCTTTGTCACATGAGTGAGGACCGTCTTGTTTCTAAGCAGCACTTCACTAGTCTTGAATTCTTCATACTGCTTGTCATACTCTTCCTCTGTTGGGGACCTTACTAGATTTCTGAAGGCATCATAGATCACAGCTTTGTCTTCTTTTTTGACCCCATGTTCAGCAGCTGTGATGTATCTCAAAAATGCTTGTAAGATATGAAATAGGCATAAGAGAAGAATGGCCAGAGGATACAAATGAGCGAGACTGTTCCTTTCCTTTTTGCAATCATCAGTAATGAAGACCTTGGGGCCATTCGATCCCCTGCCAAAGAAACAAGTACTTGGATACAGCTTCTGTAGCATTTGCAGCCCTTTAGTAATTAGTGCTTCGGACTCTGCAGAAGTCATGATTATACCAAGAGGTAAGCCACCTGCTAGGCTAGGGGCTATTAAAAACCCAACCCTTGTATCATAGCGGTCCATGTTTCCAGAGAAGTCCATTATAACCACTTCAGAAGAAGACTTCAGGAGTTCATGTACTCTTTTCATCAGTGGAGAACATATGACAACAACAATGTCATCATTGTCAATCCAAATATCTGCACATTGGGAGTTACATTTTAAGTTATAATCATCAATGACATCTTTGAGCTTTGTGACCATCCCATCACCATAATTTTCACCATAAACGGCTTTGAACACTTTATAATATTGATAGTAGCACCAGTTTAAATCTGGGCATATGGAGCCATCAGCATGGCTTTTGAAAAAGTCATCACCATGTTGAACTTGGAGATCAAATTTATGACACTTAAGAGCAGAAGATGGTGTATGTCCTTTCTTGAAGTAGTCTAAGAAAATTTCTTTAGTTGCTTGAGTTGGTCTCCTGAATCGAAGAGCATCAGTTGACAAGATGGGATGGTTGTGCCAATGGCGCAATCTCACTTCCATTGGATATGATTTAAGAAGTTGGTCCGTACTCCTGAAAAATAACACACAAAGATAATTGTCAGTATACCAAGCAGGTGATACTAGATGATGCAAGCACCAAAGAAGTTCAAAGAAAAATTTCTCAAATAATTAAAATTTTCATTTCTTAAATACATATAGAGATGTTCTGCCACCATGGTCGGTCGACCCAGAAAGTAAACTAGTAAAAATGCTCGTAATGGCTGCATGCAATCAATAATGATTGATATAGTACAATTCAACTGCAGATTTCAAGTTTAAAGAGGTATACATTATGTTTTAGTTAGGCAGGCAAACACATAAAAAGTTGTTTCTTTCTTGGTTTAGAAAAAGGAAAAATAGCATAGGTAGAATGTATTCTAGAAGGACCCATGTGTCAAAGACAAATGGGCAATAATTGATAAAAAATTATATTAAGACAGTAAAAGTACATTCATTACCCATTCCCTCAAAAGCCAACAAAACTGCCACAAAAATATCTGGCATACCTTAATCACGTACTCAAGTCCACTATGCAGCAACTGGAAAAAATTTGTGTCACTACTATACTTCAAAGCAACCCGAGTGACAACAATTGAAACAGTAGAAAACTTCTGTCAAGTAGTAATATGATTGTACTTGTGATAATTCACAAAAAGTTACAACTATATCGTTTCACTCTGGTTGTTGTGATGTACATTAGTTAGAATTATGTCAGATGGCCGTACAACAATATATATGGGTACATGAAAGGGAAAAATTGTTTTAGTTTCTTCTGTCAATTTCATTAGGGATTAAGAAAAAAATTAGAGGGAAACAAGAGATAATGTATATGACCATCTGGCAATAATTCCGCACCCAGACAGCAGAAAGCTCTGGAAATCAGAATAACCCAGATAGAAAACCAAATGCCAAGAGAGAATGTGTCATTATGGAGGAAATACTCTTTTAAACAGATCTGACATGTGGATTGATTGCATAATGACACATATTACATTGTGGCTTTGGTATACTTTTCTGGGTAACAGAAAAGTGATTAGTTTATATTTCTCAGTGACTACACACCAAGGTAAATATACAATAAAACCACAAAAACTTACTTTTTCATTCTTGGATTTTTAATTGTGATCATTATTTTAGCATTGCACTCAGTATGTTTTTTGTGGTGGGTCTTTTGTTTGTCAGGAAGGGTGTTGTGGTGACATCTTAACTGCAACTGCGTAAAATCCAAATAAAAATAACATACAGAAGGGAAAAAAGGTACAATGTATGATGATAGCAAAAGTATGTACCTTAAAGAGTGTTCTTTCCTTGGCAAGTCTAGGAAATGTCTTGTAGACTCTGAAGTCTAAGAATGAACTAGCCTGATAATGAGTTAGCCAGTCTAGAGCTTCTTTTTCATCACTTATAGGTAAACGAATAACAGCTGTCAAAGATTGGTCCCCCAGTTTGTAAAATTGAACAGCTGTCACATGATGTTCAAACTCAACAGGAAGCAAAGTCTAAAGGAAAAAATAACATAAACTTACATTTATTTGAAAAACTAGGGATGATAACATTAGATATCCACTTAACACACCTGAAGGTACTTGAATGCTTCTTCACTAATTCCAGACACATTCCAGTCATCATTGTTATTACTGGATTGTGTAGGAGGTTGGAAAGAAACTGTCTTTCGAATTTTTCTTTTGGGTTGAAAATCATCCGAGAGATCAGAGTCAATACTTGAGTTCTAGAAAAAGAAAAAAACATGACAAATCAAAATTACTGATGATACAAAGTTTATTGTTTCTAAATATTAGAAAAAAACAATAACTGACCAGATCCTCTGCTGTCTTTTCAGGTTTCCTTTTTCTTGCTTTGCTTTTGATTCCATCACCTTTCTTTGTACATTGAGCAATTTTACTGACCACATCCTCTGCTTTCTTTCCAGTTTCCTTTATAATTTCAACACCATTCTTTGTAAATTGATGAACAGTAGCAATTTTACCGGCCAGATCCTGCTCTTTTTTCTTTCCAGGATTCCTTCCAATTTCAACACTATTCTTTGCAAATTGAGCAATTGTATCAATTTTACCTGTCTGTTTCGGTTGAAAGGCATTATTGCTGAGGAGTGAATCAATACTTGAGTTCTGCGGTAGAAAATGCCCCAAACATTGCAAAGATTTACTTCCATAATTAAAAAGTAGAAGAAAACAAACCTAAAAAAGAATAATATTCACCTTGCTTTTGATTTCATCACCTTTCTTTGTAGATTGAGCAATTTTACTGACCACATCCTCTGCTTTCTTTTCAGTTTTCTTTATAATTTCAACACCATTCTTTGTAAATTGATGAACTGTAGCAATTTTACCGACCAGATCCTGCCCTTTTTTCTTTTCAGGATTCCTTCCAATTTCAACACTATTCTTTGCAAATTGAGCAATTGTATCAATTTTACCTGTCTGTTTCGGTTGAAAGGCATTATTGCTGGGGAGTGAATCGATACTTGAGTTCTGTAGAAAATGCCCCAAACGTTGCAAAGATTACTTCCATAATTAAAAAGTAGAAAAAAACAAACCCAAAACAGAATAATATTCACCTTGCTTTTGATTCCATCACCTTTCTTTGTACATTGAGCAATTTTACTGACCACATCTGCTTTCTTTTCAGTTTTCTTTATAATTTCAACACCATTCTTTGTTAATTGATGAACAGTAGCAATTTTACCGACCAGATCCTGCCCTTTTTTCTTTTCAGGATTCCTTCCAATTTCAACACTATTCTTTGCAAATTGAGCAATTGCATCAATTTTACCTGTCTGTTTCGGTTGAAAGGCATTATTGCAGAGGAGTGAATCAATACTTGAGTTCTGCAGAAGAAAATGCCCCAAACACTGCAAACTTCCATAGTTAAAAAGTAGATGTAAACAAACCAAAAAAAGAAATAATATTCACCTTCTCAGCTACGCCACCTTTTGCTACCACAGCATGTTTTGTAGCACTTTTCTGGGAGAGCTGTGTAGCTGCCTCAGCATTAGATTTCCCTAAGTTTTAAAAAAATAAAAAGGGTTAAAAAAACTGAAAATAGTTTCAAAAATTTATCATAAGAGTGGTGCAAATAAATTTAAAAAATACCGAAAGCAGAGTGATGCACTTTCCTGTCAGGGCTCTCCTTGCTGCCTTCAAGGCTGGAGACAATGTCCTGACTTTCCCTAGGAGTACCAGGAATAACTTTTTCAACCAGGCCATTGGGTTCCACTACAAAACAAAAATAGACATTACATAATGTTAGACGTTAAGTAATGGTTAGCTTTCCTACAAAAATTGTAAAAGGTTTTGAGAGGTACATACCAGCAATGTCATCCCCATGAAAAAGTACACGAGCCGTCTCATTCTTACTTTTATTGTCAGTAAATAAAGCAGACACTTTCCAAGGGCTCCCCTTCCTGCCTTTAAATGGGCTGGAGACTGTGTTCTGACTTTTCTTTGGAGTACCAGGAAAAACTTTATCTGCCAGGTCAATGGGTTCCTCTACAAAACAAAAATAGACATTACAATGTTAGACAAGTAATGGTTAGCTTCCTACAAAAATGTAAAAGGTTCTGAGAGGTACATACCAGCAATGTTGTCCCCATGAAAAAGTACACGAGCCGTCTCATTCTTACTTTTATTGTCAGTAAATAAAGCAGACACTTTCCAAGGGCTCTCCTTCCTGCCTTTAAATGGGCTGGAGACTGTGTTCTGACTTTTCCTTGGAGTACCAGGAATAATTTTGTCAACCTGGTCAATGGGTTTTTCTATAAAACAAATGAACAGCAATGTTAAAATTTTAAAACTTTTCCCAAAATAAAATATTTAGAGTGTCGTTTACCTGCAGCAACAAACTTATCCTGAGCTTTAGAGTTGCTTGAGTCATCTGACAGCAGGACAATGGGCTTGACTAAAAATAAAACAAATTACATGTTAGAACAGTTATTTCCCTGCATGTATGACAAAACTATAAGCTCTGAGTGTACCAGCTGTAGTTGTAGTTTTAGTCACTGCTCTTCGTGGCTTAATCCACTGGCCCATCCAACGATTTGAGCAGCACGGCCCATTCCACATTTGGTTTCTTTTATTGACAAACTGCCCGACACACTTTCCATGGAACCAGTGGTCACATTTGTCGCAGCATATCATAAAACTTTAAGAAAAATGATAAACAGTGATTAAGGTTGATGTGAATAACAAAATATAACCACGGGATGTGTCACGAGCCCCACAAAGAAACCTGTACCACCTGCTCCATGCATCTTTTGACTTTTTTAAAATATCTAAATCTGAACTTAAGAAATTTAACTTTGGAGTACCGTGCAAGGAAATACTTAGGCAGGGCTCAATGATGTGCACTACATTAATCCAGGGTTAGGGCTGTAATGGAAACTCACCTATCATCACTGGGCCGCTTGCATGTTGGGCAAGCAGTCTCGCTTTCTTCATCCTTTGCGTGTTCCATACCTCGAATTGCCTTTTCCGTGTTAAGGAACGCCAGTTTGCATCGTCATTGTCCAAAAGCGCGAAAGAAAGGAGGCAAAGGGGAAACGAAAGCGGTTGGAGCGAGTAGCAGTTCGTTGACGCGTAGGGCCCTTCAACTGTGACAATTTTTGAAAAGTGCAGCAGCACTCTGAGCGCAACCGGAAACAGCAGATATAGCCTCTTCGCCGGGCTGCCGGGGTCCCTTCGCTTGTGACCGAGAAATGCGCCATAGCGAGCGGCAGTCGCCTGTACCCCCCTAGGTAGTAAAAGACTGCCTCACCCGGCTGCTCTATGTAAACATGCACTTTCTGCAGTTTGTTATCTGTTTGTTCTACCTTCCAAGATTAGTTTCAAATTTCCTCTGGACGATAATTTGTTTTAAAAATTAAACATGAATTTAACCTGATAGATATAAATCAATTTGCTCAAAGAAATTTTTATTATTTTTCCCACAGATGGAGGAGCTTCGGCAGATATCTATGCCTGACTATAACTTGCTTGATTTTCGACTATCCAGTATTCAACCTGAAAAAAACCACATAATTTATCACCCATCAAGCAGCATCCTTAACTTCTGTCTTCTCGATTTAGTGAAAAGATTTACTTCTACCGCGCCATCAACAGGGTATGCGCTGAATACAAGATATGAAAAGATTTAGTGCAGGTTTACTCAATCTTTCCTAATAAGCTAACTATTTTCTTTTTATTTAGCCATATTCTGATTGTTTCACCATCCAAATCAGGATCTACACAGCTTAGGCAGTTTCTCAGTAGGCATCTCCTTACAGACAGTATTGGATCTAGAAGAAGAGGAGACTCCGATGGGTCCTGGCCAACAGTAAGGCAGACAGTTTTGATTTTTTAAATTCTTGAACCTTTAGGTTTTCTTTTTCTCTTTGTGTTGTGTTCATAAAAGTCTTTATTTTTCAGGTTATCATTACAGAAACCTCATCCCTTCCTGCCATATTTCCAAACGGATATAAAATCAAGCTGGACCTTATTATTGTGTTAGAGTGTCACAATGCAATATTCATGATGCCCATTATTGAGGTACTTATATTTCATTTGTGTGCCCATAATTCATGTAAAAGCACGCATCATATTTTGGTTGTGCCTGTTACAGCTTATAGCGGAAGTTAAGGCAATGAAGAAAGGACGACAGCCGCAGTTAATCTGCTTTACGTCATGCATTGTTTCTGATACATGTAACTTGAACGAAATTCAGGATCATGTGCGGTTCCTTGAGGATTTTTATGGTGGGGAGCTCTTGTCAACTTGTGACCAATCAGCTATGGAGAGGTGAGATTTGGTTCTTTGTTACCATTAGGATGCAACCAAAGCCACCAATGTTGCCTCTTTGTCTTGCAGGAATTTCTCAACACCTATTCAAACAATTGACTGTTTTGAGAAACAAGAAAACTTAAGTGATACATGTTTGGAGGCTCTTCATATATTGAATAGTACCAAAGAATTTTGCTCAAACTATTTTCTTGAATTTGATGGGAAAATGTCCAAAGGTCTTCTAGGTGAATGTCAGAAACGCTTGGATGATATTCTTTGTGAAATACAGGTTTGTATTAAATTTAATTTAGTAAGCAATAACATTGGCACATGATAGTATTTTACTTTCTTATTTAACCTTTTCTGTTTCCCTTTTTCTGTTTTTTTTTTTTTTTTTAACCAGCAACAAATGGAAGAGCTTGGTGAATATGGAGGAAGTATTGCTGTGCTTAATGCATTCAAAGATCTAGTTCGTCTATACACATTTGTTAGTAACCGTGAAGGACACAATATAAAGCTCTTGTTAAGCCATTTGGTTTGTACTTTAGCCAAATTCAGGTAATATTTGTATGCTTTTCCTGAATAAAATAGATGAAACAGACTTTTTGCCAATCAGTACTCTAACGGTAACTTAATTACAGGAAGATTTTAGAAGATGACATGTTTAGAGTTCAGGTGTCTGAACGTGGAGAAAGATTTTCCTCTAAAAAGGTCCAGCTGGTTTTAAATTATCTTAAGGACTTGCCAAAATCTCATCGGGCACTGATTATTGTCAGAAATCTCAACACAGCAAGCAACCTTACTTTGATTCTTCAGGTTGGTTGCAAGACTTTTGGCTTGAAGGCCCATGCAAAACTTGACAATTTATCTCATCTTTCATTAAAAATGCAAAAACATGTTTTTATTTTTAGAAAATAGCTACTCTAGGAAAGAAGCATTCCCACCGAACACCTGAACTGATGATAAATTGTGCTTCTATACCTGCCTCAGACAAGTGTATTGACATTCTTTCATGGGAACGCAATATGGAAGTTTATTCTAGGTAAGGTTGTATCTTGTGATCTAGCAAGCTTGAAGTTAAACCTATTGAATAATGGCAAACTTCTAATCATGCAATCACAATTTTTTAAATTGATAAAGTACTGTTATTGTCACAGGTTTGTTGAGGGGACGACAAATACTGTAGTGCTTTGTGGTGAACTCCTTGGGCTAGATCTGCCCAGCTGCGATTTTGTCTTAAACTTTGATGATGTAGACAAGTTCTCTCACTTTTTGCTCTCAAAGAACTTGACAAAAAGTCAAATTGGGAAGCATGCTCTTCTTACAGCGAAGACAAATCTTTCTTCATTTGAGAGCAAGATTGAAAGTTTTAAGGAGACTGAAAAGGAGCTTGAGAAGGTACTAGCAGCTCATCTGACACCACAGAGAGACCTCTTTGTAAAAGTTCCAATGTGAAATGTTGCATTTTTCTGTTTTTCAGATTTTGACTGGATATGAATCATTACCATCCTCTATTTCTGATGGTTTTAGGACAGAATTAGGCACTGAGATTAAACCAGATGAGTTAGTAAAAATCATTGAGAGGTAAGCCTGTATTAGTATTTTCCGGTTGCTCACAGAAATTATACAGCACTGTACCACAATTCAATTTTTAATATCCTTGTAATCTTCTTCCTTCTAGATATTGTAAGAGTTTGCCACGGGATAAGTTTACCCCATGTTTTCCTGTGTGGAAAATGAAAAAGTATTCTTTTGGGGCAACCCTTTACCGAGCATCTTTGTATTTACCTAGAATATCTCCAGTTAATTATATCAAGGTACATTATCATCTTTTCTTCAATAGAAAAATCTACTTTTCTGATAAAGTTCATTCTAAGATCATAATTATTATGTTTTTCAGAGTGTCAAAGCACCAACATGGTTAATGGCTCAACAGAATGCAGCTCTTAGTGCTTGTCAGGAGCTGTACAGGGTTGGAGAATTGGATGATAACATGTTAATGTCATGGCAAGCAACAATGTACAGTGCCAGTAACACTGAGGAATTTCAAGCAAGCACCATCAAAATTAATTCCAAAATTAACTTTGAACTAGAGCACGAGTTTTCTACGTTGGGTCTTGTTTCTAAATTTGATGACGGGACACCTTGTGAAGAAGATGAAGATATTGTTTGCAATTTAATTGTGAGTTTACAATGAGACTCAAGATAGTAGTGTCAACTTTTAGCATAAATTAATAACAGCCTCTTTTCTTTTCTTAGTATCCATTGTCATTAACTAGTGTCAGACCAAAACCAGATACAGAATTATTCTTACATAAGCTCAAAATATGGCCAGTAACTGAGGCTCCACCCATGGGCGATATCAGAAAAACTGCTCTGTATGAACTCTTGTGTGATAAATGCAGCTATGCAATCCTCTCATCCAAGCCACTGTTGAAGGTACAGTACAAAAGCCTAAATACTTGATTATTTGTTAAGACATTTCTTTTTGAATACATAGTTCTCTGACAATTTCATGCTCTCTCTCTCTCTCTGTGTAGGTATGTCAGTTTCCCATCTTCCTCTTTGGTCATGAGCTATCTGTGGAGGTTGAAGTCAATGAGAGTAAGCTGATGCTAGATCGGGCTGAACTTGGTCGTTTAGGAATGTTCCACTGCAAATTGTTCATGAATGTTCTACCCATTGTTCAGAACTTCATGCAATTTGATGTATTCAATGGACCAAACAGTTACCTTATTGTTCCACTGACCTCAGGTATATTTAACTATAGCTAGTTTTCTAGTTTCCTTTTCAATTTTATTTTTGACTTGACTCATGTCCAATTTTCTATAAATTTTAGATGGCCTGATTGATTGGGTTGTAGTGGGAAGTGATATCTCAAATCCTGAACCTCGTGAATTCACACATGAAGAGAAGGCACAATTGGTTTGCACACCTGAAACACATGAAAGAACTATGGTTAAGCCATATTACAGGCATCTGATAAAAGATCAGGTACTTTATATTTAAACTGCTATGTCACTTTTATTCTACTTGTCTCTGAATTCAAAATACCTTTTATTGCTTGTTCTGGATTACCATTTGGTATTGTTTCAGGTTTATTTGGTAGCATCTGTTTGCATGGATATGAATGCTGATAGCTGTTTCCCAACTGAGGATTTTGATTCATTCACTGACTACTACAGCGAAAAATATAAAATCTTTCTAGAAAGACCAGAGTTGCCCTTGCTGGAGGTTTACTTGATAAACACCAAAGTCAATGGACTGCTACCCAGGTATTCCAATTCACATTAAAATATTTCTTGTTTAGTGAATGTCAGTGATGATTAATTTCTTTAGAGCTGAAAGCTCATTTTATTTTCAAAATAATGTGAATAACCATTTCTTCTTTTTGAAGAGTGCGCTCCCATAAATTACGGCGTGAAGAAAAGATGGAAGATTTCCGGGAACACATGGTTCCAGAGTTGTGCATGCCTCTTCCATTCCCAGCAGCGCTCTGGCTGAAACTCTCTACTCTTCCCTCTGTGTTGCATCGGTTGAGCAGGCTGCTTGTTGTTGAGGAATTTCGGAGGATAATTGCCAAGGAAATTGGATTCGGAGCCTCAGACAATAATGCACACAGCCTCCGTTTGAATGTGCTGTCTGGAAATGACGCACTTCATCATTCTAAAGTGCCCCCTTCAACAGTTAAGCGTGGATTAGCTATTGGAAATGTCAAACTTGAAGATCGTAAGAGAAAAGCTCATTCCAACAAACCATGGAAAGTGAATCAGGAGCCAGTTGACATACACCGTGATATAGAATCTCTAAACTTTTTGGAAATTCGTATTTATGATGAATTTCTTCTACGAAGTAATTCTGTACCTCTTAGTACTAGTCAGGTGACTACTATGGATACTAATGAGGTGAATACAACATTATGTTAACCATCGACACAAGATAATGGAGTGCCACATTAATGTAAAGTTGAAAAATTTAAATATTTATTTTTCATTATTTCTTGCAGATGTTGGTCCCAACCTCAGAAGAAATTCCATACTTTGACTCTGAAAACAAAGATGAACCTCATGATGGGGACTTCACTGATACTGCTTGTCTCTCTAAGCAAGATGAAGTGCCTCCCAAGTATTTGAATTTGCTGAAGCCCTATGAGGGAAACTGTGGGCCTCAACAGTCTGAGCTTTTAGAGGTGACCTGTTTGTAAACAGTGATTCTCTATTGCAGTGTGCAAAATGTCAAATATTTGCTATTAAACCAAAAATTCTCTTTTGCTTTATTTAGGTATTTACATCCTCCATTAGCAACGATGGTATAAATATGGACCATATTCAAGTACTTGGAAATGCATTTCTGACTTTGACTATATCAGCGTATGCTTACAAGCATTGTTTGAATAACTCAAGCAGCTCATCAATCTCACTCCACCAGCTTCGAACAGCATTCATGAGTAAAAGTAACTTGGTTCAATGCTCGGTTAGAAACCAACTCTGCAATAGAATTAAAGTAATATTTTATCTTGTTTTGATTTTGTTCTTGTAACTGTAAACAGAACACTGAATGAATAGTTTGTGTATCATTGTTTAGGTTCTGGACTTTACCCCAGGAGAGTGGATTCCTCCTAGCTTCACCACCCCTCCAATGCTGAAGCAAGTGCTCAAAGAGCAAGGAATCAGTCCTAGTGTCCTGCAACAGATATGTTTGACAGAAATAGAGCAACTTACTGGAGTTATTGATGAAAACTCAGAAGAAGAGATTCTAGAAGTTATGTTAGGCTTTGTCGCCAGAAATTCAAATCGCCGAGATGAGGCCTACATCGACCACAACAGTGTCCCTACTCAAACAGCTGCCAATTGCGTTGAGGCATTAGTTGGAACTTATTTTAAGGTTGGTGGTCAGCTACCAGGTCAATATTATTCCTTAACTTCTGGTTAAATGAGCAGTTAAGTTATTGTTGTTTTTAACTATTACAGAGTTGTGGTTGGCAAGGGGCTCTAAAAGTTGTGGGATGGCTTCAACTTTTGCCATTTTCTAAGGTTGAAGGGCTCCTTGACCATGAAGAGGTGCAGGATAGTGCTTCAACCTCCTCCCATTCAATTGAATTACCTCTACCGCTAGAATCTCTTGAACTCAGTTTAAATTATAGTTTTAATGACAAGACACTTTTAGTGCAAGCCCTCTCTCATGAATCTTTTATACACCCATTGTTTCAAGGCACCATGAACCAACTGGCTTTCCTGGGCTCCAGCATTTTAGGTTTGTTCTGTTATGTCATTTAAATCAGATTTAATGCAGTATAATTCATGATCAAGTTTCTGTGTCTATCTGTGTTTTTTCTTCTAGATTTTCTTGTTACCTGCTATATTTTTGAGTATTTGACGGAGCTAAATCCTTCACAAATGTGGCGAATACGTGAAATTGTTTCAAGCACATCTACCCTAGCTTCCCTTGCTGTCCGACACAACATTCATAAATACCTTCTTTTCAATTCTTCATCATTGTTAGACGCTGTGGATCGGTTTGTTAAACTTAGGAAAGGCTGTAAGGATCCCATTGATGATGAGGTACTACTTAGTCTCTAAACTGCTGAATTAAAATGGATTAAAATGTATTGCAAGCTGATCTTAAATGTCTTTGCCTCTCAGGTTCAGCTGCTGTTAGAAGAACATGAGTGTGAAACTGCTCTTCAGGTAGAGGTTCCTGCTGTATTAGCTAGACTCCTGGAGTCACTTATCGGTGCAGTTTACCTGGACTCTGGTAAAAGCCTCTCTCTCACATGGGAAACTTTCAGGGCTATTTTCCTTCCAGAGCTTGGTAAGTAGCAATATTTGAACTGTTTTTATAATAATTATGTGCTTCAAATGGATTATATTAGGTTTTTTACTTTAGACATGTGGCGGCATGATATACCTCTTTCCGTTGTTGACCTTCTCAAGGATCTGTCTCCTGCAGCACATCAGGTTATATTCTCGTAAGTATCATCACACCATATTGTTATATTTTTCTTCCTGACTGTATATTACATGATTGTCTTGTTCTTACAGAAGTAAGAAACAGGAACATGGTAGAGTAGAGGTAATGTGCAAAATTCTGATGGACAACACACGTGAAGAAGTTTTTGTTGCTTGCGGTTATGATGAGTTGAAGACAAAAACTCATGCTGCTAAACTTGCTCTTAGGAACCTTCTTGGAATTACCACTTATAATTACTAGAATAGTGGGAGGAACAATCGTCAATTATTTTCTTTATTGTACCTGATCTTATGATCAGTGTTACACGACTGCCACTTGCGGCTTAGTTTATATTTTTCTATATTTTTAGTAGACAATCAAATAATGTTTGTAATGTCAATTATTTTAAAGATTCTTTGATTTTGTTACTGTTCTTCTTTATGAGTTGTTTTACTGACATAAAGAAATCGTTTAATCTCATCCCTTAATATTTACTTATGTGAATTAACTGTCACACTTGTCAAGAATAAACTGTGATATGATAATTTATGCAATTGTGTTATTCATAGCCCCGCGGGGGGAGGGGGGGCATTATTAGAGACTTCATCACATATAGACAATTTTATTGAGTCAAAAAGCATACTTTCAGGCAAAATTCATCTATTCTTTAAACTATACTTCACATTATATTATATATTACTCTTACAATTATATTATATCCTGTAAATTTAGTTCACACAGGAAGGAAAAACTGTACAATATACTCTACAGAAAAAGTCCTTATACAAATAATGGCACAATTGTGGAGTGTAAAGGCATTATGTTAATTGGTTCACATGACTATTTGAGCTCACCGGTCCTTCGTAAAGGAATCATCACATCTCAGCACATTACGTCACGGCACTCTCAGTCCTATTTAATACTTATTACATTCTGAGCATAGAAAAATGAATAATTGAAAGGAGTGCAGACTAGCGGCGTGGGTTAATGGATTGATAATACTACCACTCACAGTGACTTGGTTAGTCACACCGACAGGGCCGCTTGCAGAAACCTCCGCGGCCCCTTCAGTAATACTGTTGGTTGGGAAGGGGTGGTGCAGACCTAGACTCCAGGACTCAAAGGGTGGCTCCTTCTCAAGAGGGACTGGGACTGGGGTACGCGCTGGTCCGTCCGCATCCTATAACTCAGTACGGATGGATGCAAGTCCTGAACTAGACGGAGCCGTGCGGCCCCAACCCTTGCAAGGGTGCTTGGCGGGGACGAGCGTCAAGGCCGTCAGGACCTGAGTAGCCAACGGGGCAGCCACCAGGCCAGGGCCGCGACGCTCAGCACCAGCTAGGCGAAGGGGCCGTCGGCGAGCCCGGGGGCCGCCGCGGTGCCCAGCACGTCCTCCAAGGATACCGTCGTGGCCACCGCCTCCGTCGTCATGGTAACTGAGTCATCGTGCTCTTCCTGGTCTTCTTCGCCGTCTTCCTCCTCGGAAGCCTCGGTGGACGCTGCGTGCGCTTCGGGGACCATCTCGCCGGAGTCTGGCTTCGGGCGGGGGGTGCTGGGGCTGGTGGACGGGCCGGAGAGGCGCGGGGTGGTCGTGCTGGTGGGCACGGCGAGGGCGGCCGTCGGGGTGGTGGAGGAGAAGGGCACCAGGGACGTGGCAGTGCGCGGCGCGAGCGTCGTGGTGGTGACGACCGCCTTCTTGGCCACCTTGAGCCGCTTTTGGTGGTGCTTCTTCTCGTTCCTGGACTTGCGCTTCTTGGCGGCAATCATCTGCAGGCGTTTGTGGCACAGGTCCTCGTCTTCCGTGGCCTCGCACTTCCGCCGGGGGAGGGCACCCTGCGGCCGCGCGGCTGCCGGCGTCTGCGGGGGCGGCGCCACCAGCAAGCCGGGGTGCATGGGGACGGCCAGGGGGGCGGCGGCGGCCGGCTTGGGGGCGGCCGTGGGGGCCATGGGGGCCATGGGGGCGGGCCGCCGCCGCGTGACCACGGCGCCGTGCCCCTTGCGGGGGCCGGGCTGCGCGTGCGGCCGCGGGCAGCGGCGGAGGCTGGGCCGCCTGGGCGTGGCCTCGGGGTGGCCGTGCGGGGGGCACGCCGCGTGGTGGCCGCGGTGTCGGAAGTGCGGCCCCGCCCCCGAGGTCCCCGCGGCCGCCGCGCCCCGCAGCCGGCTGAGCAGGTCGGCGACGCGCTCCGCGGGCACGGGCTTGGTGAGCACGCGCGTGTAGGCGGCCAGGCGGCCGTGCGGCGCGTCACGCTTGAGCTGCACGCGGCGAGGGGCGCCGCGCCGGTCCAGCGCCAGGTACAGGCTCTTGCCGCGCGGCCCCGTCGAGCTGTACTTGGCCGACGAGTACGAGTTGTAGTAGTGCTGCTCCAGCATCTCGTTGAAGACGCAGTCGTCCGTCAGCTCCTTCTGCAACACAGACAAAGACACACATCAGTGCTTCTGCCTCGCGCACGCTTGTCGTCGTTATCTAGCTCGGTGACAGACGCTAAATCGTTCAAACTGTTCAAATTTTCTTTTTCAAACAAATTTAAAGTCCTGAACGACACTGGACACCGCAGGTCAAATGTCGTTCTCTCCACTGGGGTAAATCATTTCCCCCAAGAGACTATATTCTTTTTCGTGGCGCCTCTGGCGGGCTGCATTGCGCACAAGGTCATGGCTGTCTCGCCGTCCCTAGTCTCCCTGCCTGGAGCCCCAAAGGCCCGGGCCGCCGGGCCCTCGAGGACGCCGTGGAGGGCCTCGTCGAGGACGCTAGATGCGTATCGGCCCGGAGGCGGCAGTCGGACCATGAGATTACAGATCAGCGCGTATGGCCAGACTGCCAGACGGTCGTTACCCCTTTTCCCGGAATTCCTCCACTCCACTTGACGCGCGGCGCGGCGCAGGCGCACGGCGTGGTGACCGTCTCGTAGCGAAACCGATCTCGCCGCCGAGCGGCTAGACGTGAACATGGCCGCACCGAGCGAGACACGCCAGGGGATTGGTTCATTCACAGCATTCACAGCCAGCGGCCCGCTCCGCTCCCCGTTCACCACGTTCCCACGGCGAAAGTGGGAAGTGTCAACCGAATGGGGCTCAGGGCGAGGAGGCCCCTCTCGCGCCGCTCGCTCGGACTTTGTTTGGATCGCCTCGAGCAGAGCCCCAACACCGCCGCCAGGCCGCCACCGCGTTCTCCATAACTAATACTTGTCGCCTGGTGATGCATTCGGCCTACGATAAATCAACCCGGCTCCGGCCGATGGCCGGCCCGGGGGGGGGCATCGCGTAGCTTGATGATCTAATTATCCCGAGACGCTCCTCGGACGAATGCCGCAATGCCGACCTGTTCTAGCGTCGCAGAGAAGCAAGCGTATGGATTATTAGGACGTATCAGACCTGTCCAACATAATATTTTTTTTTGTTCGGCTTTGCTTTCTGAGCAGCACTATTGATTTACTGCGGCGCGTGATGCGAGGACGCGTCACAGCCAAACGCCCTCGGGGTGCTGCGGGCTGATTGTCGGACACGGAACCGGCAGCTGGGGCAACGGCCAGCTAGCCATGTTGCTTCTGCTTGGCGCCCATCGCACACACATTTTTCAAAACGGAGCGTGGCGTTGGGTTACCACTGACATTCTCTATCCAATTTGAAACACACGAAAGTGAGGCCGCCGATTGCCTCACCGCGTCTCGGTTTACGCTTCGCGCGCTTCGCCGCGCCGGCGCACAGTGGGCCAGAAGACCGGTGGAGGCGGCCAAAACTCTAGACGCGTTTTGAGCTCCAGAGTCTCTAAATGGGACTCGAACCGAACGTGTGACCCCACCAATGGATTGCTCTTCCTACGAGGAACCCATTGGTGGGGTCACACGTTCGGATCGAGTCCTGTTTAGCGACTATGGAGCTCAAAACGCGTCTAGAGTTTTGGCCGCCTCCACCGGCCTGATGCCCCACGTTGTGCGCCGGCAGCGGTCGCACCTGGGAGAAGTTATGGTCCGGGATGCGCTGCCGCGGCGCCGCGACGCCGCCACGCCATTGCCGTGCGCCCGATGAGGCGTGTTTCCTGCCTCGGATTCGAATGGACGCCGTACCGTGGCGTGGCGTGCCACGTTGTGCCTTACAGTGTCTTCATTTACCACTCGAGTGGCCACACGATGGACTCGGTGGACGGACCGCGACGCAGTGCCGCGCTAAACGCCGCCCCTCGCTACGCCCTTGCACGGCCCTATATGCAGAGCGAGTGCGAACAGTGACTGTCTCTCTGCGGGACCCCCAACGGGTGCGAGAGAGACGCGGGGGCTCCATTCGGAGTCAGCCAGCAGGGAGGGGAAGGCCTGCGCCGCGCGCCCTCCCCTGCCTCCCCGTCACATTAGCTCCAACAAGAGGTTTATCTCGACGTGTGCCTAAACGTTGTAACGTTGTACCGCGTCGTGTCCCCGCCGGGCCGCGTCCGCGTCGTCCGCGCCGCTGCAGCAGCCCCGGTGCTGGCCACGCCTTGGGCCACGCAGTTCACGCAGGGGGCGCCCTCGGACGCGCTCTCGGACGCGAAGGGAAGGGAAGGGCGCCCCCAATTAGTAAAGGCGTTAGTGCGGCCCACAGGAATGTGACGCTGCGCCGCCGCCGGGGAGAGGAGAACGACTCCCCCGCCTGCATCTCCCTCTGTCTGTCTGTCTGTCTGTCTGTCTGTCTGTCAGTCAGTCTGTCTCTGTTTGTCTGTCTGTCTGTCTGTCTGTCTGTCTGTCTGTCTGTCTGTCTGTCTGTCTGTCTGTCTGTCTGTCTGTCTGTCTGTCTCAGTGCTTAGGGACAGTTTCTAGTTTTTTTGGCAAAATGTGAAAGTATATGTTAATTGCATTTTGTTTGTTCCTTGTTTTCCTTTTCAAATTGTAAATGTTCAATTTTTCTTTTTGACCTGTACTGCCATGTACCAAGGAATCAATAAATTGAAATTGAAATTGAATTGTCTGTCTGTCTGTCTGTCTGTCTGTCTGTCTGTCTGTCTGTCTGTCTGTCTGTCTGTCTGTCTGTCTGTCTGTCTGTCTGTCTGTCCCTCACTCTGGCTCCGCAGTACGTACCGAGCCGTAGAGCATTCCACACGCGTCCATGCAGAGGAACAGGCAGGTGGCGAGGCCCTGCATCTTGACCTGCACCTTGTTGACCGACGTCCTCTGGAGCACGGCTGCAACACACAAACACTGCACTGAGAGACTGTCAGGCGGTAGCCGCGTGGATTGCCAGTGGCTTTCCATTTGTTGTGCACACTGAGAATCCAAACGCTATGAGTATAGCGTCAATTGGTGCAATACAAAAGCATTGCACATGAAGTGCAATACCTCCCCAATCCCATGCATTAGCATAGGGCATTTTCGGGATGCATTGCACGTAAGGTGCAATATGGCCATCGCATTGCACGTATGGTGCGATATCTCAGCTGTATTGCACCATACGTGCTATACTCATAGCGTTAGGAATCTCAGTGCAGTTAGTTCCCGCTTAGCGCCGCTGCCGCTGGGAGGGAAGGGAACTGTGCCGCGTGGAGCGCCCGACCACCTCCAGGGCGGCCGGCCCGCCACGCAGCGGCGGCGAGCGGGCTGCGGCCGGCTCGTCTCACGGCGGCACAGCACAGTCCGGCACAGCCTGCCGCGCCTGCACTGCAAGAGCAGGAGCAGCGCACCGAAGTGAAACGGCAGTGGAAACGAGAAGAGCACAGTGGACAGCAGACTGCTGAGCCACAGGCATGCCACAGGGCAGGACAGAAGTCGACGGGACGGACCCATCGTTAGTTCAGTGAGCGGGTTCAACGTGTCGTAGTGCATCAAGGCGGGGCGGGGCGGGGCGGGCTGACCTCTTGACGCCTTTCTTGACCCGCCCGTCCCCTCCCCCAGCTCATGCCGGTAGTTAGGCGAGGCGTGGCTACACATCTCATCACCATCGTCACCGAGGCGTCGATTCGCGCGTCCAGCTGGGCACCACGCCCCGCCCCGCCCCGCCGCGGTACGTCGGGTGTACGTGACGGGCGACATGTAGGCGAAGCGAGATGGCATGACATCAGCGATTCGCAAAGTACAGTCGCGGAGTTCGCGCCGAGCCGGCGGCGGCCCGGACCAGCTGAGCGGGCACATTCACATTTAGGCTAGGCGCCGCTTCGCTTCGCCGGCGGCGGCCAGGCCGCGCCCCTCGCCGCCCAGCCGCCCACCACCGGCACGTAGCCCGGCCAGGCTGAGGAGGCTCATGTCGTCATTTTCATAATTCCCTCCGAGACACGCGACACGCGCATCGCCAGATCAGGGCGTACATGTATTAGACAGGGGGCCCATCCTGCCCCACAGCGATACGACACTCAGTCCAACGGGAGCGTTCTTTGCAGCCAGCCTCCACTGTCCAGTCCATTAGTAACTCCTTTGCATATCCCCCTCTCCGTCCCAGTCCCCTCGCCGTTCCCCGCTCTCGCTCCGTCTGTCGATCCGCGCGTCAATATCGGCGGGTCGGCCGGGCGCCTCCGCGTTACGTATAGGTTAAAGTTGACAAACTGCAGCGCCGCTTCGCTGCATCGCTCCATGGCCTGCCGGAAGCTGATCAAGATGAGCACGATGAAGACAGACGTGGCGGCGATCGGACCTGACTGACGTCCACTCCGTCCGCACTCGCCCAGCCCCGTGAGCCTGGACGGGCACGCCCTTGGGCACGCCCGGCAATGCGAGCTCGTTTCGGACTTTTCCGCCGCCAGTGTGAGGTACTCCACCACAAAGTCGCCTCGCTTTCGGCATGGCTTTCGGCCAGCCAGACCACCAACGAGCTGCAAACGCGTGTTGGCCGTTTCGCGATTGTTGCCCTCCGGACGCCGAGCGCTGCGGAGCGCTGCGGCAGGCTGGATTCCGAGCGAGAGGCACCGTCGCTCCGTCTCTCTCGCACCCACACGGGACGCCGCACGAGTGCGAGAGAGAGAGAGAGAGAGAGAGAGAGAGAGAGAGAGAGAGAGAGAGAGAGAGAGAGAGAGAGAGAGAGAGAGAGAGAGAGAGGAGAGAGAGAGAGAGAGAGGGAGAGAGAGAGAGAGAGAGAGGCGGGCCTGCCGCTCGGAATCAGTCAGCAGGTACGGCAGAGAAACGGTGCGGCGGCCGACGCGGGGAAAGGGGTGAGGAGGGAGAGGGAGCGCGACGAGATAAAAAGATAAAAAGAGACAGAGAGAAAGAAAGTGCAATGCGCCAATGCGGGGCAAAGCGAAGCGAAGAAGGGCGTGTCCCCGGACATTTCAACGTCGTGTCGCCGCGCTCGTCTCGCCGTGTTACAGTGTGTCGCACCGCGCGGCCCGCGCCCTGGCCCGGCACGCCCGGCACGGCCACATGACGGTCAGGGCCAAGCGTGGCACGCTGCCAGGCTGTGCCAGGCCCGCCACAAGCCAGCAGCCTCGCCCCGTCTCTCTCGCACCTGTGCGGGGCCCCGCGGCGCCACACGAGTGCGACGGAGAGAGAGCGAGATGCACCAGGGCACTGTAGCAGGACCACCGCCCGAGTCCAATCCATGCGACGTGTTGCCGATCCGCGTGCCCCATTTCTGCCTCGCGGTCGAGATATGCGCGACTTTGGCCTTCATTCACTCCACTGTAAAAGCATCGCACCCCTTGCTCCCGCCTTGCTCCTCCCAGCATAGCGGCCCGCGGAGTGCTCGAAGACGAAAGGACACGAAATTGCAGGCGGTCGGCGACAAGGATGGATGGAAGCAATCCATCGGCGCGTCACATAGCGGCGGACGCACGGGCCCGAGGGGGAAATCACTCTTAAAAACTGTGACCCGACTACTCCCTATTACGTTCTATTACGCTATTACAGAAGGCTTATTACGCTCGAAAATATCGAGATTAAGTCTAAAATCGGACCCTAAATAGGGAAAATCTTTAAAAATTTGGCTATTACGCTATTACTATTACGCGTAATACTAGGAATCGGTGACCCGACTATTACGCGAGTGATTTGCCCCTCGCACGGGCCTTTTTGCATGCACAGTGTAGTGGCAGGGAGCGAAGAGCGAAGCGACCGACGAAAAGCAGTCTGGAACGACGCGCTTGGACAAGAAGGAGAACCAAATTCAGGAACTTGTTCTGCTAGGCGCACCGCACTGCTCCTCCGCCTCTCACGTCTGTATAAACGATCGCCTGATGGAACTAACGGTGTAGCACCGTAGTCCGATGCAGCGATTCGCCGCCCTCTGCCACTGCGTGGACTGCGTGCACTGCGTGCGATGCGGATAAAGACTCTCTCTCTCTCTCTCTCTCACACTCGGACACTTCTTGGAACGGGCGGCCACGTCGGCGAGCCGCGGGGCATCGCGGCGAAAAAAGGACGTCTTCAGCGCGACGCCGCGCCCCGCCTCGCCATGCCGTTGTCACGCCGGATGTTTGGCGTGACGTCACGTTGCGGTGGTCAGGGACCGCGGGGACCGACGCGGCGCAGTGGGGCGGGGCGGGGCGGGGCGCGAGGCGAGGCGACGGAGGTCGTGGTGTGCAGCGCCCCGCCCCGCCCCGCCCCGCGGCGACGCTTTGGCGGCGTCGGCCGTCGGCCACCTCGATGGCGGGGCGGCGGGGCGGCGGGGCGCGGAGGGTGCACCGGGGCGCGGCGTGCCGATCCGCCTCGCAAACCTCCCCGCATCGCGCACGTCCCCGTCGTGCCCCGCGGAACGACCCAACGACGCGGCGCCACTAGCAGCGCAGGCGCCGAGGCCGAGAGGCGCCGGAGCGGGAATTTCAGGTTACTGCCCGCAGAGAAAGGTTTTCCAGGGTGAACAAATGTATCATCCCCCGTCTGGAAACAAGAAATTACACTCCAAAAATGTTGTTGTTTTCCTGCCGGATGCCGCCGAGTGGTTATCGTGCATGCCATTCCGCAGTAGCGGTAGTGCAGTGCACCAGAGCACACACTGCACGCAGCGCGGCAGCGGACACCCCGCCGACACCGGGCTGACACCAGACTGACACCCCGTCGACAGTGGCCGTCATACGCTGTGAGACGCCGAGACAGGCGTGGATGGCGTGCAGGCTGGCGGTGCAGGCTAGCGGGGTGGGCGTCCAGGGGGCCCGCCAGCGCCCCGCCGCCGCCACCCGCGTCCTCTAGCACCCGTCCATGCGAACAGGAAACTCTCAAATAGAACACACCAAGAAATAGTCCTGAATTGGATCTCTCAAGAAGCAGACAGCAAAAGCGTGACTCTTATGCAAGTTCCGGAAATTTTGAACATTTTTCTGCGACGCGGAATCCTTTGGGAAACGTCAGTAAACTTGAGCGCAGGGAATCGAGGGGCTCGCCGTCACCAACTGCAGTCGGCTGCTGCGAACAGCTGCCGCGACGTCAGGCTGATGGACGGGGCGGGGCGGGGCGGGGCGGGGCGGGGTCCGCGACAGGGCGCGTGGCGGGCACGGCGGAGCACTGTCAGAAATAATATGTCGGAATCCTGGAGTCTCTGGAGCAGAAGGAGGCAAAACCGTCAACTGCATTCGTTATTATGCATGCACGCATTCCGCGCGCGCGGTGCGACGCGGAGCGAGATAGAGAACGCAGGCCGCTGCACTGCACACTCCCGTTCTAGGCGAAGTAACTAAGCGATGCGATGCGGCGCGACACAGTGGGCCAGAAGACCGGCGGAGGCGGCCGAAACTCTAGACGCGTTTTAAGCTCCAGAGTCGCTAAATGGGACTCGAACCGAACGTGTGACCCCACCAATGGATTGCTCTCCGGACGAGGAATCGATTGGTGGGGTCACACGGTCGGTTCGAGTCCCATTTAACGACTCTGGAGCTCAAAACGCGTCTAGAGTTTTGGCCGCCTCCGCCGGTCTTCTGGCCCACTGTGCGCGATGCGATGCGGGCCGCGAGAGGCGAGAGGAAAGGAGAGCGGGCGAATTGATAAAAGCCGCGACCGAACGAACTGGACGGACGGTAGCCCGGTCTCTCGCTTCGAGCGAAGAGGAAAAGCTCCGATTCCCTCCGTTCGCGCGCTTACCAGTGCACCAGTGCACCGACAAGTGCATGGCTGGGCATTCCCCCCGCCCTGGCGGCGATCATTACCAGGCGCCAAACACCCCCAATAAAAGCAGAGATAAGATAGACACAAAGTTGCAGTGGCGATGCCACGGCGATGCATTGCAGTGCGACAGACATGCAGTGTGGCGGACAGGCTGACAGACGGACGG